GAAAGGACATAGGATAGTTTTTATATCAAAATTCTCCAGGAAGTCACCATTTCATGCGAACGAAAGCATTTCACCATTTCATTTCGCGGGAAATATCTAGTGAAGAATAAAATAGCTAATCATTCCTTCTCTGATTTAGAAATTCCAAATTTTATTAAACCTAACGTCAGCTATAAACAGTCACATATGTACAATATAATAAAAACCGGTAAAATGATGTTTATTTGACCGTTTTTTTTATTCTCACCTTATATTATTTTCTGTCAGCCTGCCAGTGCTATTGCTTTTTAGTTTGGCCTTTTAAAAGTGTGCATTCTTAAAATAAATTTACAATAACATTTTTCTCTCTGGCTCTCGTTCATAGTCTGGTTATATCACAAGTTTTAAGTAGACGATCTTGTTTTCAAGTTTTTACCAAATATAAAGTAGAGAACGCAACTGTTGTAACTCTGATATCATCTGCGGTGACTCATTGAGAACTGCGAACGCCTTTCACAACAATAAACTAACAATATTATTCGTAATGACTCATAACAATATTGTTTTGTAAGGATATTATTTAGTTCAACATTAATGTTATACGTATTTCATATTTCATTATTAATTTCTATTTACCTTTAGCCTTCATTTCATTAGGAGAATGTGAATAGTGCGTTATTGATATATTAGCTTTCGCCGGCTGCTTCGCCAGCGTGGTATGTTGATAAAAAGTAGCCTATGTCCTATTCCGGAGTGTATCCTATGCCTGTGCAAAAATTTCATCCAGATCCGTCCAGTCGTTTTGGCGTGATTGGGTATCAAACATCCAAACATCGTAACTTTCTCATTTATAATATTAGTAAGATAGTAAAAAGGAAGATAAGATATAAATAAATAAATATGAAAATATCAAATACTAAAACTTATCTGTAATATAAAAATGAATCGCAAAATGTGTTGGTAAGCGCATAACTCAAAAACGGTTGGACCAATTTTGCCAAATCCTTTTATTTTGTATTTATTATTGTCAGGAGAAGGTTCTTATGAAAGAAAATATTAGAAAAGTAGAGGGGAAGATTAGAAAAAAGTGACCCTTTTATAGCGAGGTAGTTTGACCCGTGCGAAGCAGGGGCGGGCCGCTAGTAGAACATAAAATCCATCAGCGATCAGTCACTTCATTATCTGCGAAATATGTAAACCAAAAGAAGTACAACCCAAAACAAAGTCTACGCAATAAAACAAAACAACAAAGTAGAAGTTTAGTTAAAAAAACATTTTTTTATATGACGTCATGGGAAATGACAGGTATCTGAGTGTCTCCGTAAATAATTAATTAGAATACCAATGATTGAATGATTCGTTCATTTCATTCAACTGGATCTTTTAAAAAGTAATTTGTTTCGGTTCTAAATGTGACGCAGGTAATCTGTGAATTATTTTACGTTTGTGTTTACTAGTGTACTTGAGTAAAATAAGAGTAAAAATACTCCATTTTTAATTGCGTTTTTACAAATTATTTGTCTTAAATTAAAATTTTAAGTAAATACGCAAACATTTTTTTCATATTTTTTTATACTTAAGTAATTTTAATTTCTTTTTTTTTTTGTGAAATTGTCTTTGCTACTTACGATCGAATCGTCGAATCGAATAACGAAGTTAAATAAACAAAATCTAGTCTCTGAACAAAAAAACTTATTAAGGTTTATTATAATATTATGTAATAGAAGTACCGACTATAACAAAAAAAAAACGCCACATTTCCTGGACATTTGCATTTAAATGACCACCTTATTTTCAAACAAATTGATACTAATTTTCATTGAAGAGCTGGACTGGCGATCAGCCTACGATGAGATCGACATGTATGTATATAGGCGATAATGTACAATGATCGACGACCGTGACACGGGACGTGTGGCCCCGGCCCTGTACACACTCACCTTACACTTTGGATCACCGTTTTTAGGGCTGTCACATAAACCACGCTGACAAAACTTTAAAATCAACTTTTGAAGAGTATAGAACCAAGGAGTATTATTGTCACCTTTTTAAACCTTTGTATAAAATCAATATATAACATGAATAGTACTGAATCTTTAAGAGATATATTTAAGACAAAGGGTTTCCTAACACTGACTGGAATCTACATACTGGAATTGTGTTTGTTTGTCAAAACCAATATGCAATATTTTGATTTTAAATGTGACTCAAATAGAAATGTTCGTGCACAATATAAATACAATATTAATTTGCCTTGTATAAAGAATATTTTATTATAAAAGTACAGTAATTAAGCAATTAAGTGGAAATATGTTCAAAATAAATTTAAAGAAATTTTTGATTGAAAATGTTTTTTATAACTTGAATGATTATTTTGCTAAAAAGTATAATTCAGAATTGTAATGTAATTTTTTTTTATTCCAACATAATATTGCATGTCCGACTTGGATAGACTGTTAAGTCAAAACATTGTATTTTTAATATCATAATGTACACAGTTAAGCAATAAATTAATCTTATCTTATCTTAAACTGGTGGTCACCACTTATAAAAATCAGGAGAAGGGACGGGGGGCGTTTTTAGTCAGTAAGATTCTGACTTCCCTCTCGCCTCACCCTAGGGGAAATGGGGAAGTAATTTGGTGATTTTCCCCTGACAAAAAAAACGCTTGTAAGAAAGACACCGGTTATTCTAGTTAAACCCGCTTCGGGAGCCTATCTCATGAATCTACTACAATGACGATAAACTTAAAAGGAGTACCATTGAAAAAAAACTGTTCTTAGTCTAATTTTTTTTTACAGTTAAGCACTTAGGTAAGTCATAGTACCTACCTTACAACAAATTTATAAAGCGTAAGTAGGTACCCATGCCCGAGGAAGACTAGGATATTATTATACATATTATTCCTAAAAGAAATGGCATAATTAAGCTGGTTCTTTCTCAACATTTCATATTCGACCAATATTAAAAAAATGTGCGTAAAAATAAAATAGAAATACAATACAAAAAAAATTACGAAACCGTTATTTCTATCAGAAATTCTGCCATAAATTTAATCGATTAACGTATTATTTAAGTGCTATAAGACATTCTGTCATTAATTAGAATTCATTAGTAAAATTTAGTAGTATTAGTAAAGTACCGTATCAGAATTAATTATTTTTTAACACTGTGTAAAATCTCTTTCTGAAACCTATTTCACTCCTTTTGAGGCATATTTTCTTACTCATATGTATTACTCATTGTACCACAACAGAGGAGTTCCAACGCTGTGGTTGTTTCACGCTGGTTTTCTGTAAGAACATTTACTGAAATCTACATAATTATAAATGTGGGAGAGCCATGCTTCGGCACGAATGGGTCGGCTCGGCCGGAGTGATACCACGACCTCACAGAAGACCGGCGTGAAACAACCACAGCGTTGTGTTTCGCCATGTGAGTGAGGTTACCGAAGGCCCAATCCTTCTCTGCCCCCAGTCCCTCCTCAATCCCTAAATCTCCAAATCCCTAATCCCTAAAAGGCATCCGGCAACGCACTCGTAACTCCTCCGTTGCGGGTGTCCATGGGCGGTGCTGATTGCTTACCATCAGGTAATCCGTCTGCTCGTTTGCCGATAAATTACATAAAAAAAGAACATGGTAGTATCTACTCCAGTCAAGTTGACCCATTCGTACCGAAGCATGGCTCTCCCACACTTATAATTATATAGATTCAGTGAAAGCTTCTGATTCCTGTGGTCGCCTCTGTGGTGGTGTAGTATAGTAACTACAGTATCTTATTAGCTAGCCCCGAAAGCGGCTGAATCGCCAACCCTAAAATTTATGATAGTTTAGTATAGTCTATATTGTAATACCTACTTCTAACATATAACTTAAACGCTCTTACAGGTCTTGACGTGAATTATGATATTAACGAGGTGCAAGACCGTTGGTTGTTGGACCATTGAGAAAATAAGGACCTACGCACAAACATATAAAAACAAGATTGTTTAAATGTAATGTTTAAGGGAATAATAAACCTAATTATTCATTACTTTTCTGGCGTTCCTGTATTATCGAAGCTTTTTTAAGGAGTATACTATCAAAGGACTCCTACTGCCCAAGTTTAGGTGGGAATCGCTTCTCATTCGGAAATAAATTATTAAAAGAATTTTCCGTTTCAACCTTTATGATTATTTTTACAATTTTAAATAAGTGACAAATCTTGATGGAACGTTATTTGAATATATCTTTCTCTTTAAATTTTTTTTCAGGTTTATAAGTCTATTTTCTATAATGTCACTTCCTTCAAATCTAATTTTTTATTTACCTTGGTTTTTAATTGGAATTTAAATACTTAATCTAGATTTAAAATCCATGAAATATACTAAAAAAATAAAACAATATGTGTACAACTTTGAACTCTGGTATGTACTCGTATTACACTTTAACGTAAATATTTCCAAATGTGAAATGTGTGTGTTCATCAAAACAGTGTGATTGTGATCATCCAAACAGATTGATTAAACTTACAAATTATATTAATAAATTCTTAACACGTTTTGAAGTACCGCTACTTTTTAGCATATTCTTTATACGAAAGAATGAATGCTTAGTTTTTTGATAAATAATTGAGATATTATGCGTAACCTCTGACTTTTAGTATAATAAAAATTGATAATTGATTCTTTTATTAGTAGAATTACAACCAATTAGATCTGCTATAATAAATGGACCTAATATGTTAGATTTTCGTCTGTCTGTTTTTTTCTAAAGTTTAATAATATTATACACAACGAAATAAGAAAATGCGCAGTAGAATAAAACATTTAAGGTGATCTGCTTCCGCGGCTATCCACACAATGCAAACGTGCTTAGGTTGTTTAACTGTACAAATTAAGTAGGACGCTTGGATTTCCCAATCATTAGCTGCACCTTAGACATCTAATTTTCCCGTCGTCGCTAAACGCGATGGAGACAATAAAGTCGTTAAATTTAAAAGGAATACGTGTTTTATGGGCATGCGTCTACAGAGGGGGGGATGGATAGTTGGCAGGATGTCGTCTCGGGCGCAGCGCAGTGGGTTTTCTGAAGGCTGCGGCGCGTGCCGCATGCCAACACCGGCGGTGACCTCGTACGACCCTATTAAAACAAGATACATCGTCAATCCCACGTAGTCAACAGAAGACGCCATGAGGTTCATCTACACGTGTTTGTGCTTCGCCTCTGTGCTGAAGATCGTCCTGCCTGCGCCGGCGGACGGTTTCGTGTTCCCGGATGATCGGAGACGGGAAAAGAAGCTGGAGCCAGTGATCACTCCACCTGTTCTGCCCGTTTTGGAACATTTGGAGCGTGATCCGAGTACTCTACTGCCTCATGAGAGACGTGCTGCGGGGCCTGGTCAAGTGAAGCCGAGGTTTGGCTTCGGTGGAGGTTTCAATGTGGCTCCTTCGGGGACTGGAGGACTAACAGCAAGTGTAAGCAGCAGTGCAAATGGTCTTGGTGCTAGTCAGTCCGCGTCCCAGTCGTTTTCGTTCGGGTTCAACGAAGGGTTCAGCGCATCACACTCCGCCAGCCAAGCGTCATCGTTCAATGGATTTGGAAGGTCAGTCACCTTATTGTTTACATTTTAATGTTACGCTCCATTACAAAATTAAATACTTTAGATACATGAAATAGTGCGGATTTTTTTATTTAAAATTTCAAATCTAATTAATTTTTTTGTCTGGTCTATCTTTCCTTTACCTGGGTACGGTTTAACAAATCTGCAATTTTTAAATTCGAAATTTGAAAGTTCTGACGAGTTTATTCAGAATTCCCATTTAATCAGATTCAACTTCAGATCAACCTTTTAGGTTATTTACATTTAACATTCTTAGCCGGATTACACAGTTCTCTGTCTTGATCAAGGTGACCCAAATATAGATATCATCGATCAAGATGTTTGGATTTCCCGAATATGACTCAAGACTTAAGTTAGTAATAGTAGGTACCTACCTACATAGTGTAGGTACTAATGTTTGAATAATCAAGAATGCGGACCTATGTACGTCCTACAGTATGTCCAAACAAATGAAAAACCACATTATCATACAGGACTTTGGTTGTATATTTAAAAAAAGTGTATGCCAGGCATACACTTTTTTTTAAATATGGGTAGGCCCATTACCCATTACGAAATGAAAAAAAAGTTGACACACACAGTTGACTGAGATTTATTTGTGTTGTCATTAAAGGGTTTTGTTATTCTTAAGAGTCATAATTTAATAAATAATTTTGTGATCTGAGTTTGGTTGAAATATAAACAAAAAATTAAAGAAAATTAGATAATGAAATTGTATTATAGTGCAATTTACAACAATTATAAGAACCTATGAGTGAAAGTGGGATTATTTTTATTTATTTATTGCATCGAAAAGTTGAAAGAATATTATTATGTTCATTTCGATTTCGCAATTATATTTTTTACTAATTGTAGTGATCGATAGATAGACATTAGAGTACCTTTATCAAAGTCTTCAACAGTAGTCTAGTCAGATAATATTCTGATTCTAACAAAAGATTTGCAGGACACATCATCCTCATACATCGCTTCTAATCCTTGAATAAAAATCTCCAAAAATTTCCTTGATCTTTGTTTTAATCACTTTTCGTTGATCTTTCAGCGGCTTCAGCGGCAGCCAGGCAAGCAGTCAAGCGGCTTCATTCAGCGGTTCTGGAATATCAGCATCAGGTGCTGCTTCATCAGCTTCGGCCCTAGGAGGTGGATTTGGAGGTGGAAGCCAAAGCCAGAGCGCATCTTCTGCTTTTGGGTTCAACTCATTGAATGGATTCCCACAACAACCTGTAAGTATAGTATTTAAAAGTAATCTTTAGAAAATTGACTTATAATTATTAAAATATAGTATTGAAAGTAAATAGCCTAGCGCTACACCGCATTTGTAATAATCTAGATGATACTAAAAATATTGATTTATTTATTTAAATACTCAAACACAAAAAAAAATACAATATTGACTCCACGGTTGGTGCGGTGGCTACATGGGCAACTGGCTGCCGCACACCCGCGGGTTTGACTCCCGCATGGAACAACTGTTTGTGTAATCCAAAAATTTTTGTTTGTTGGGTCTGAGTGTGTTGTCTGAAATTGTATGTTTGTAAACGCACCGACGACAAAGGAGGAAAGATAAAAAAAGAAATTAAAGAAAATATGAATGGCGGACTTATAGCCGCTTTTCTCCCAAACTAGCTTAGAGTGATTAAGAGCCAAATATTGTTTAGTCACAGATATTTAGCCTAGGTTACGCTGTAATTAACGCATCTAAGCAAACACTTCAGTCCTTCCTTCTTTTTTATTAGAATCTACGAATTTTTTTATCAACAACTGATTTTGGCTCAACCTAGTAGTGATAATGCAAAGAGTCTGTATAGGTTCATGGCACAGCTATGAGTATTATGGGATTAAATGTTATTTGTATTTAGGGTACGATGGGACTGGCATTGCGATTATAAAAGTCCCTAAACAAATAAAGAATAAAAAAAACGAAAACCTTTTTTACGAGTATATTTGGGATTTTAATCTTGTCTCTTATATGTATTTCAGTATTTCGGCGACGGTCTATTAGATGTGAGACACAGAGGCATCCCCAACTTCCCCTTCCCCAACTTCGTGGGCAGAAGTAAGGGGGCAGGCGCTGCTGCATTCCGGAGCGGAAAAGCTGGTCCATCATCGAGAAATAATAATGACTTTTTGGCGGTTCTAGTCTCCGATTAAATACACTAGATAGTAATATTAGAGAAACTAATATAAGTTTGGGTAATGATCAAAAAGTCTTGAATCGAGATTTTAGTCAATCTACAATATTTGTAGGTATTTATCTATACATTAGTCACTGTTAGAGTAAAATACAAATTATGACATAACTAGCTTTTGCCCACGAATTCGTTCGCATGGAATAGTGACTTCCTGCAGATATTTGATATAAAAACTAACCTATGTCCTTTATGGAGTTCCAAACTATGTCTGTACCAAATATCACAGAAATCGGTTCAGTAGTAGAAAAAACAGACAGACAGACAGTGTTATTTTAGCATTCATAAAATTATATAAGTTTGGATTTCCAATGAGCGAATTTAATGGAACAAGTAACTTGCTCGCTTTTCTTTATGTAAAATCGTTTTCAGAGTTTCAATTATACCGGTATTAAAATTAACTACAAATAGTACAGCAATTTCGTGTGTGTACCCACTTATTAAGGGGACATACTGCAGAATTTGACAAATCTCGATCTAAGAGTTTATAATGTAAATCAAAGGAAGTGTAAGACTCGATTAAGAGTGTTAGAAAGAAAAATAACTTATTTATAATTTATTTATTTTATAATTTATTAACTACGTAGTAAGTAAGTAGATATGTCAAAGCAATAACTACTTAATGTACAGTACTTTGTGAGTTTAAAATGGAATAAATTCGACCAAAGTCGTTTTTAAGCAAATGTAAAGTGCCATTTTCGATCTTATACTTACGTAGGGACACATACTTATAAAAACAAAATGTGTTTTATTTAATTTATTCAAATTAATGAATATAAAAATGTTTAGTTAAATACAAACTGCCTATTGCGTAATTTATTTAAATAAGTCTGTCTTTTTAATGTCTAATAACTAGTTGGAACATTAACGTTTTTTTAATGTCTACATTTTAAAATGCCCGTTATATGATTTGATTTGTATTAAGTTATGGACACTGGCAAAGTTTCGACTGCTGAGCAAAGGCACGTAGAGTACTAACATATACCTCGAAAAGAAGTTGGTACTTGCCAGGTTTCGACCCTGCTCGACCAGAAGCGGACGTCTGTCTGGTGGACAGCCCTAAGCTAACGAGAGGCACATAAAGAGTTTCAAGTCTTTATAATAATATCTTATATATAAAAATGGACCGCAAAATGTGTTGGTAAGCGCATAACTCAACAACGCCTGGACCAATTTTGCTTATTTCTTTTCTTGTTGTGTTTGTTATTGTCAGGAGAAGGTTCTTATCAAAGAAAATATTAGAAAAGTAGAGGGGAAAATTGGGAAGAAGTGACCTTTTGATAGCGAGATGGTTGGACCCGTGCGAAGCAGGGGCGGGCCGCTAGTATAGGTATAAAAGTATAAAACAAGATTTTCAGAATACTGAAAGGCTTAGTCAGACGTTATCAAAGTGCAGGTATGGTAAGTAAATGTAACGTGTCGGTTTTGGTCGTAGTTGGATTTAGATTTTATACTTTTTATTATATGGTATAGGTCGGCAAACGAGCAGATGGATTACCTGGTGGTAAGCAATCAGCGCCGCCCATGGACACCCGCAGCACCAAAGGAGTTATTAGTGCGTTTTCGCCCGCTTTTTAAAGATAAGAGTTTCGGATATTTAATAGGAAGGGATGGGGGGAAGTATTGGGCCCCGGTAACCTCACTCATCGGCGATACACAGTGCTGTGGTTATTTCCCGCCAGTTTTCTGTGAGGCCGTGGTATCACTCCGGTGGAGCCGACCCATTCGCGACGTAACTTGGCTCTCCCACACTTAATTACTTGCCTATAATTAATTACTTCGATAATAATGAGTCCTGCATCCAATCATAAAGAACTTTAGACTATATTTTAAGCCGAAGTTGTCACTTGCTAGATTGACATGCCATCTTTATATCTGCAAACAGATTTATACAAGCGGATTGCTCATAAAAACTGATCAGGCAAACAGATTAAATTAAATAATGTGTACATAGACAGATGGACGGCATGGACGGACAGCGTGGACTTACTTACACCCGGTTTCCGAAAGGCCGACCAATGTTAAAATCAATTTAATCTCTTGTCAAGTCATCTGATTGGTTGAACGAATTATTAACAACCAATCAGATGACTTCACAAGACATTTAACAGGAGATTAGTTAATTTTTGCGTTGACAAGCCTTTCAGAAACCGGGTGTTAATGTCTCATATGGTTCTGGTTTTTAACTTTTGGAATTTATGTATGTATCAGGGAAGTTAGGGAGTTCGGTAGCCGTAACTATCAAAAATATCGAATATCGAAATAAACGTTTCGGATAATATCGGATAGGGGCGGAGCCTACTTGGGACACGTTGTGTTTGTATTTTACTTTAAAAAAATCCTTTAAGTTTTTATATCCGTAACTGTAATTATCCGAAAATAACGGATAATTCCGAAAATTTCAACGTAATATATTACAATTTATCTCCCGTTTAGAATCTTACGAAAGTTTATAAACTTCCTAGTAAAGTTCCTAGTGATAAACTTACGGATCTTGTTATTTTCCGGTGACACATACATACGTATATATTACCTTGTAAATAGCTGAACCGATTTCGATATTCCTTTTTATAGAACATGCCTTAAGGCGATTTTCACACTGCCCCGCATCATGTTGCATATTGCGTGTCGACGCACCTACGCGCGTTCCTGCGGGACTGAATATCTGCATCATCGTGCGGGTTTTTTGCGCACTCACGCGCGTAGTTGCGTTTTGTAGATTCACGCACGGCCGCTCTTGCTCTATTCGCATTGGTCGTGCAGTACGAGCATCACGATAGTTTTGATAAAAATGGTGTGGAACTCATTCAGTACGCTGCCATTATACTAACTGTTTTTGTACGGTCAAATTATGACAAATCGTGCCTATAATAATATATAAGATACTGGGTACAACCAACCAACCATTCAAAATCACGCGCGGCGCTGCGGGATTCAGTGTGCCATACCTTGCGTCTCGCCCCGCACCTACGCGCGGGGGTGCATGTTTCTCCGCGTGTATCGCGTGATCCGCATGAACGCGCGTAGATGCATTTTCTGTGTGTTAGACTGTGCGTGTTTTCCATACAAATGGAGATACTTACAAGCAACGGAAGAACACGCATCCACGCGCTACGCTGCAGTATGCGGGGCAGTGTGAGAATCGCCTAAAATACGAAGAAGATTCGAGGAAAGAATATTAGATATGGGTACAATAGACTGAGTACACGAAAAGTTGCTTCTGAACTGCTTATTAAGAAATTGAAAATGTTAGAGGCTACTTTACTTACTACACGAGTGACGTGCTTTTTGCTGTTGAGCACCGCACTATCGAGTCGAGTGAGAAGACGTTTGATGATTTTCCCTCCAAAAGGCTACATTTTTTTTTATGTAATAGGTAGATCGGCAAACGAGCAGACGGATTACGTTGCTGGCCTTTTGGCGACTACGGTTTCGGAGATTTAGGAATTGGAGAGGGATGGGGGAGGGGAAAATTTGGACCTCTGGTTACCTCACTCAAATGAGAAATTACAAGACTGTGGTTGTATCACTCCGGCCGAGCCGACTCATTCGTGCCGAAATTTGGCTCTCCCATACTGTAATACGTGACGTGGTGACCCGGAGGTTAAGGAGCCCGCTTCTCATGCATAAGGGGGTGGGTTCGAAACCTGGCAAGTACCAATGTGATTTTTTCCGAGTTATATGTACTTTCTATGATTATTTAGACACCACTGACATACGGTGAAGGTAAACATCGTGAGGAAACCTGGACTTATTATTTCTAATTTTAAGTTTGAAATCGCCAACCCGCATTGAGCAAGCGTGGTGATTAATGCTCAAACCTTCTCCGTGTGAGAAGAGGCCTTTGTTCAGCAGTGGGCACTTATAGGCTGACGATGATGAAACTGTAATACGACTGTCAAGAACTGTGTTTGAGTATTTATTACACATTGTGCGTAATTTTGATCTGTTTTTAAATCAATTAAAACGTAAACAAAACAGGTAGGTACTTGTTGAAGATGTAGCTCGTCTTCAAGGACCGCAAACCGGTCGCACCTGCCTTGGCTAAAAATATCTTAAAGATACAAACTTTTTGTTCTTTGTTGATACTGGCAACTAGATTTTTACGCTTATTAAGCCTTATATTATTTATTATTTACTTGCAGCAGCTCAAAGATGCCGTCGAAAATAAAATTCAACCCGAGCCTAAATCATACGCCAAAATGGTTAAAAAAAGATCGATACTTTTGTTTGTCCAGAAAACTTGAATTCTGTCGTAATTTATCCCAATGACAAGACCAAAACGAGTGGCGAAACAAAGTCTCTGGTCCAAAAGATTATCTCGTCGGAAGAACTTAAGCTGCACGTTCGTGGATTGAAGAAGGTTAGAAATGGGGGCGTCATTATTAATACTGAAACTAAAGGGGGCATTGAAAAACTTAAAAACTCAGATAAATTAGTTTCATCTGGTCTTAAAGTTGAGGAACCATCAAAACGTCGACCCAAGGTCGCTGTTATTGGTGTATCGGTGTACTTTTTGTTCTTTGTGGATACTGGCAACTAGATTTTTACGCTTCTTAAGCCTTTTATTATTTATTATTTACTTCAAGTGCTTGTGCTGTTCTTTTTTTAAATATATTATCATCATCAGCCAGACACGAAACGGTTTGGTTTTTAGTCAGTGAGAGTCTGAATTTTCCTCTCCTCTCACCATCATCAGCCTATAAGTGCCCACTGCTGAGCAAAGGCCTCTTCTCATACGGAGAAGGTTAGAGCATTAATCACCACGCTTGCTCAATGCGGGTTGGCGATTTCAAACTTATAATAACAAATTATAAGTCCAGGTTTCCTCACGATGTTTACCTTCACCGTATGTCAGTGGCGTCTAAATAATCATAGAAAGTACATATAACTCGGAAAAAGTCACATTGATACTTGCCAGGTTTCGAACCCGGTGTGGGTTCGAAACCTGGCAAGTCATGCATGCATGAGAAGCGGGCTCCTTAACCGCCGGGCCACCACGACATTCCCTCCACCATAACGAGAGAAAAAACTTCTCCCCTCAAAAGAAAAACCATCACATCACCCATTAAACTTATTCAGCGAATGAATTGATTGATTGCACAGTGGACCCGGTAGCTGGATTATCGGCTGCAGTGCAATTTGTCGCGGATTCGATTCCCACACGGAACAACTCATTGTGTATTTTATTTCTACGAACTTGTCTGGGTCTGATGTGTATAACAGCAGAAATAATAAGTACTTTTTCTCGGGATAACGTTCTTTAAAAGTTCTAAAACAAAAGA